TACTTCTCGCTCTTAGTTGAGGGCCCAGGCCAAAATAACAGCGGTTAGCCACGCATTTTCTTTTTTTTTATCTCTTTGGATGTGTTATTTTTGTAGTCTACCAGTGATCCTAAGTAGCAGAATTCTTCTACCTTTTCTATCGTTTCGTGTTGCACCTCTGAAGTTATTTTGTTGAATTCTTGATATGGTCGGCATATATTTAGTTTTCTGGATGTTAATCAGAAGTCCGATGTTTTCTGCGGCATTTTTGATACGTGTGAAAGCCTCCACTGCTTCATTTTGGGTTATTCCAATTATGACGATATCATCAGCATATGCCGTTATTTGTATACTACGGGTATATATCGTACCTTTTAATTTTATTCCCGAATCTCTCATAACTTTTTCTAACGCTAGGTTGAACAGATATGTATGACAAACTAATGTTAAAATAATTTATCCTCAAGATATTACAAAATTTTTGACATTAATAACATGTATCTAGGAATTGGAGGTGATGAATTGATACAGAATTTTTACGAAGGTTGCAGGCGTTTCTTGATTACAGCTTTGATGGAAGTACAAAAAGAAAGTATTTTGCAGATCCAGTCATGGGCAAGATACTCCTTCTAAGTAAAAGTTGTAGTATTTTGTTTTACCCGGTATATATTAAAACACCGAAAAATATTCTCATTCTTTTTGCGTCGCAAAGATTGATAATATAAGCATTTTCGAGTTTGTTTATAATCATTTTAATTGCTATTTCGTTTGATATTGATGTCAACTGAAGATTTTTGCGTCAAATAAATAAGAATATTTCCACTTAGACTGGTGGAAAAATGTATGCTGACAAGAGGCTGATTTTGGGAGAATGATATTACTCTTCGATGAACCGTAATAGCAGTCGGTTTCATTATTGAAGTCATGAAGAATTTGATAACATCGGAAATTCAATAATGTAAAGTTTAGTGTAGTAGCAGTTAGAGGAGAAGCAGATTGACTTCTTAACGGTAAAGATGTTTTTCGGTGATAGTTAAAAAAAACTGGCAACAATTTGTGTTTAATTCCATGAGTTAGGAGGCGAATTTAATCTCAAGATGCTATTTGGCAGTCTTTGTAAAGTGAGATAATCACCGGCCTGTTGCTGCATTCCGTGCCAAGGGATTTGAAAAACGTTTCCAAGGTTTTAAGGTTTCCTCATGGTTTTAAGTGAAAATTAAGTAGCCGAATTTTGAAGAATACATATTGTTATCATCAGGATAACCTGAAGCCCAATTCGATGTTTGACCTTCCCAAGATTTGTCCATTTTTGTGTCTCCATGGGTCAATCAGATCATTTGTAGTTTGTGTGGGACAGTGTGTTTTTTTTGTATCCAATTCCAAGGATAACTTTCTTAATAACTTCAAAAGAAATACATATTTTTTAGTTTTATATTTTATAGATCAGCTAATTGTCATAGGTATTTTAGTTTTCTTTTAAATAAAGTTAACCTTGATAATTAATTAATAATTAAGAAAAGTTTAACAGAGCTAACAGAGAAAATCAAACAGCCGAAATATCGAGACGAGTAAGAATGGGATGGGCAGCGTTCGGCAAATTTTCTTACGTTCTAAAAAATCAAACAATCCCTCTATACTTACGAAGCAAGGTGTATAACTCCTGTATAATACCGGTGCTCACCTACGGAGCACAGACATGGACATTTACACGGGCCAATTTGGATAGGATAAGGAAGGCACAAAGAGCGATGGAGAGACAAATGTTGGGTGTATCACTTAGAGATAGAAAACGTAACCAGTGGATCAGAACCAGAACAAAGACAGTAGACGCGATAGAACAAGCAGCAAAACTGAAATGGAAATGGGCTGGACACAATGAACGTCCCCAAGACGGACGATGGAACAATGCCATCGGAAAGTGGCGTCCATACAATGCAAAGAGATCAAGAGGCAGACCACAGATGAGGTGGAAAGATGACATCAGGAAACAACGAGGTCCCACATGGCAGAGAACAGCTCAAGATAGGGAAAGATGGAGAGAACTGGGGGAGACCTATATCCAACAATGGAAGGATAGAGAATAGGTTCAAAAAAAAAAGAAAGAAAAGTTTGATATTTCATTTCGACATATGGCACTCAGTATTATCCTTCTCTGTCAATTGGTTTATAACCAAAATTTTAAATTCTCCTTTGTCAAAAGGTTAAACTCAATGTAAGGTTTGTTGATAAATTTGGATAATGTTATTTATAATAACTGTTTATGTGAAATAATAATAAATATGTAATGTGTTTCTTTAAACCAGAAGTTTAAAATTATTTCTTTTAAAAAAAATTTCACCCTTAAAATTTTTTAAGAAAGAAAAGCCTTTCTTTCTAATCAGCAAGAGGATTTTTTTTAATCGGCGACCATTTTAAATATATTAGGAACCTTTTTGTGTATTGTTGCCCAGAAAATCTCTGTAAGTTTTTTTTATTTCTTTTTTTTTTTGTAGTTAGCCCTTCCAGTCCCTCAAATAAAGAAACCCTTATCCACGACCTAGTTCTCTAACCAAAACACGAATAGCCGTTCGCAAACATTTCAATTTATTTGCTTACCCTATCTCCAGCCCAGTAATTGTTCATTTCCCCCTCTCAACTCCCTATACGCAATTATATATTGTTACAAGTGACACCTAATGTCGTAGGCAAGTTTAATTGCTAAAAAGTAGCTTTAACCCATGTTTTATGGGTTATGTTAATACCAATGTAATTTCACAAAATTTCAGTGCTTAAATCAGCTAAGAATGGTATTTCGAAAAACAATTGGTGTGCAAATGAACTGTCTACTTGTGGCACGTATATATTGTATGATTATGACATACTCTGCAACGTGTATACTTTTCTTGCTTAAAAATAACGGAAGCTCTGAAGGCTTCCTACGGAGGCCCTCTGATGGGTCCTAAAAATGACGAAATAGGTATAAGCGAATTGTAGAAGCACTATACGTGAAATCAAATCTTAACTGTCTTTTTTGTTAATGAATGGATGTTAATTTCTCTTAATGAATGGATGTCGCACCATAGAAGAAGAATAAGATCATCAACTTTTGTACTTGTTTTGTAATTTTAAAAAATTTGCGGAATCGTAAAGAAACTGTTTGGCATCGTTATTGCACCAAGCAGCTTATAATTTTTAACATCTGTTGTATCCATGTACATAAGTAACTACCATGTGGTCCATATGTATGGAATAAATTCATTTTTAGCGTTATTATGTACTATGTGAAAAAAACCTGAAGCAGGTCGATTTTTATTCTTAAATTGACAATTTATGGTATAAAAATATTATCCCCCTCCAGCACCCCCTTTGAATTATAAGGACCCCCTCGAAAATTTTAAATAACAAAGGGGGTCGTGTGACACCTTGTTAGAAAGGGATTTTAGTTCTCTGTTCAGCAATATTAAGTTTTTTAGGTTTGGTGCAATTATAAATGAGAAAAGTGATTTTTAAGATGTAAAATTTTGATAATGACTCATCACAAAACTTTAGGTTGAATGACGATAATAATGTCACAGATTATTTAGAATGTATTTTTCATGACCACCATTCACTTCTGGACAATAACCGACGCGATTTTGCAATTCTCGTACAACATTTTGTACGACCTCGGGGGTTATTTTGTTAATTTCTTCTGTTAACCGAACTTTTAAATCAGCAATACTGTTTGGTCTATTAAAATATACTTCAGATTTAAAATAATCCCATAAGAAGTAATCGAGAGGAGTCAAATCGGGGATCTAGACGGCCATTCGATCGTTCTACGACCTTTCGATCTTCCAATCCACCTATTGGTAGAAAGCTCGTTTAAATAATTTCTAACAAGTGCAAAATGCAGTTGAGTTCCGTCTTGTTAGTAGTAAATAGATCGATTTATCTCATTTAGATGATTAACATCAGGAAAAAATCGTAATATATGCACTAAAAAGTTAATAAAAAAATCTAGATAAACCTCACCATCAACTGTGCCCTCAAAAAAAAGACAAATAATTTTATTGTTAATGATACCAGCACAAACGTTAACTTTTTTAGGATATTGCGTGTGAGTCTCACACACCCAGGGAGGATTTTCTCTGCTCCAATATCTGCAGTTCTATTTGTTAACTGTTCCGTTTAAATGAAACCACGCTTTATCAGAAAAAACTATTTTGTTTATGAACCGCAAATCTGCGTTCATTCTGTCCATCATCATTTCATAGAATTCTTGCCTTCTGTCAGAATCATCTTCATTTAACTTCTGAATTAACTGAACTTTGTAAGGTGGTATTTTTTTTTATGCAAAACTCTCAGACTATATGATTTACTTACATCATTGACGGCGGCAACTCGAGTTGTCTTATGGCGGATTTTTCTCGATCTCTAGAAGTACATCTAACTTTTTTTGTCAGTAAATTTAACATTTCTACCTGGTTTTTCAATATTTTTTACATGTCCAGTAAAACGAAACTTCTTTTTAATTTTGCTATTTTGAATTTCTAAAATCGCCTCGGTTATTGTCAAGAAGTGAATGGTGGACATTTAATTTAATTGCAAAGTACATTGAAAAATATATTCTAAATATTATGTGACATTATTATCGCCATTCAATCAAAAGTTTTGTGATAGAGACATCAGAATTTCTAAGAAATCACTTTTCTCAGTTATGATTGCACCAAACCTAAAAAAAACTTTATATTGCTGAACAGAGGACTAAAATCCCTTTCTAACAAGGCTCACACGACCCCCTTTGTTATTTAAAATTTTCGAGGGGTCCTTATAATTCAAAGGGGGTGCTGGAGGGGGATAATATTTTTATACCATAAATTGTCAATTTAAGAATAAAAATTGACCTGTCTCAGCTTTTTTTTACATAGTACATAATGACGCTAAAAATGAATTTATTCCATACATATGGACCACATGGTATAATTTTTTTTATATTTGGTACTGTTTGTTTTCGACGAAAAATGTTTGAAATCCAGAGTTTTGTATCTTAATTTTTTTAGTGGGCCTGGAAAGCCAATACACTAAACCCAAATTATGAAGGTAACGAATTAAAGGAAATGATACCTGATGATCGGTTTATTAGACATACATTAAAGAACTGGATATTTGGTGCTGATTTTTCCGGAGATATAACTAAAACTTATAACCATGAATATTTAGTTAACTTCGTCCAACATACAAAAGTAAGTTATATTATACAGAATGTAAACATTATTTTCAAAAGAAATCTATTTTTTCTAGATTTTATTTTATTTAGATTTATTTTATTTAAATTATCTAAGGTCACATAAGCAGCTCATTATGGAAGAAGGATTCGACATTATTGTTTATAGGTTTCAGCCTTTGCAAGATAAAGTATCTGTGGTAAAAGTCAATGGTGAATTGATTACGAATATTGTCGACACGCTGTCTTATGCGATAATCTCCAAGGCATTCAAGAGTTATTGGTTCGCTTAAACACGAAAGGAAGAGATATGGGTCCAAAAATGAATGTTTTTAAGATAAAATTTATTGCCAACCTCTCGACAATGCTTCCCTAGATGTTGATCAACAAAACATTAAGAGAGTAACTCACTTTGAATATCTGGGATGCTACGTTACATACCAACTAGACTCAAGCATCGATATAATATATGGGTGGAACCTATGAATAAATACTTGCGTCCAAAGTAGCGGGTAATAATGGCCGATCTTGTTTCCTGAATGTCAGTGGTGTACGAAAAAAATTATTTTAGTACATATAATATTTACAATAATTATTTATTTTCGTTGTTATTTACATTTGAATAAAATATATAATGGCGTGTAAGATTGTAAAATTAAAAAAATATTATTTTAATAACATAAAAACATAAAACATATATTTTAAAGGTACGTAATTGCGCATCGCACGCCACTGATATGACTGGATGCAATATATTAAAAATTCAATGATTTTATTAATTTACCAACAATAATTCATTAAATTATTGACTTGAACAAATAATGTTAACTGCTTAACATTAAAATATCGGTAAATAATTAATTACCTGTCAAATTCACGTCGGACATTGTAGCTGGCAATGTGACGTCAGTACCGTAATCTATCAGCTACATATAAAAATATCAACAGGTTCCATTATTATCGATGGACTCAAGTAACGAGATCAAGTGCAGAATTGAAGCAGCTCACACAACGTGTCTGAAATTGAAATCATTCTTCTATATCCACGCCAAAGAATGATCACATGTTATGTTAGATTTGATTATAATATATTCTATTTATTCCGTTGTTATTACATGGCGCAGCGAGACCTGGACTCTCTAGGCTCATTCGATCAATCGCCTAAAGACGTTTGAGATGTGGTAACATAGAAGGATACTCCAATTACCCTGAACAGTGAATTATTTAAAACTATTAAAATAAGAAATATTTAATGCCTAGAGCATGTTCTTAGAGGAGACCGATAAAGAATCCTTCAGCTTATCATGAAAGGTAAAATCGAGAGCCGGCCTTTACTTTTAATCATTCCAGTTTTTATTATGACACTTGTCGGTAGCCTTCCTAAGTTTTATTACGTATGAGTGCCTTGTGTTTAAGAAAAAGGTTTAAAAATATTAAAACACACATAATTTAACTTACATTTTTAGTATCTCAATATAAAGTCTTAAAAACGATTGTTAGTAGAAAAACAATAAATACTCAAACTATTTTACTAATGAAAAAATTTATTTAAAAATCCTTTATAAAAGGGGTTGAGTTTACCGAAAGTACAAGCTGAATATAGCCACAAATGTCAAAAATATTTGGGTTTGGCAGTGTTGCGATGTTTTTATAATGCATATGTTGTATGCTTCAAATATATAGAAAGATAGCTTTTAAAAAGTACATTTCGATTATGCTATTTTATAAACTCTGCAATTTTTAATTTATATGAAGCAACAACGAGTAAATATTTGTCTCTTTCGAGATTAATTGCAAAGATCTGGCAACTGCTGATTTGACGATTGCCAAATCTATCCCCCTCAATACATCAAAGGATAATTGCCAAAAAAAATTTCTCATAATTAACTGCAATTAATCCCCAAAGAAACAAATAAAAATTTTACTTACTCATTCTTGATTTATATAAATCAAAAATTGTATTTTCCACATTTATTCTCATTTAACTGTCTCTGAAGGACATGCAAACGTTCCGAATCCTTTCCTTGAATGTCAAGTGATCATTCTGCGACATAGTGTGCTAGTCAACCTTCAATTTTCTTACATTTCTATATTCCTATTTTGTTATATTTACACCGTTTATTAGTTTGCTCCATTTCAGTACCTGCAGTTTAGATTTTTTGCTACATTACACCTATTTTGTTACATTGGCGCTAATTCAAAGTGCCACACTACCACAATTTTTGTTACAAATGTCGTATCTTTAGTATATTGAAGGAACAAAATTAAAAATAAAAAAATTAAAGATTTAAAAAATGTCACAATGCAATAGGTATTTCGACTCTGTGTTATTGTGAGAACACACTGCGGACAATTATATGTCAGTAATGGCCAAATCATCATTGAACTAGGTAATTTATATCTGATCGATATAAAATGAACATAGAATTTGTTTTTAATGGTTTTAAGGAGTTTCTAAATATTCTGCCTGTATTTTAACCTGATATTTATGCACTTTCTAGGTATCCCTAATTACTGCAGATGGAAGTGTGGACTGTATGAGTGATCCTGGGGAACAAGAACGTCATGTCGAAAGATTGCACTTTTGTGAAACTATAACAGCATTGAGGGTTTTACAAACAGGTACTTATTCAAATTAAATTTTTTTAGTAAATAAATAGTGATGGGGTCAATTAGACCATTTTATCCCTAGGACAATTTTGATTTAGTGATATTTATTGTGTATATCACTATCATAAAATATTATCTCCATACTATGTACCCTATTACTTCTCCCGCTCCCCTTACCCTTTAGATGTCGGAATGTAATTACTTTTTATCATATATTGATTTTTTCCACTCTCTTCTATTCTTTACTAATCCCTTCTTATTCTCTACGGTTTTTCCCCTTTTCCTTCCATATTGTTCTGGTTGGTCTAGCTTCTTCTTTTCGTTCAATTTCCCATTTTGAAAAGAATAAAAAGAATATATATTTTTATATCTACACCTGTTCTTAGTCCAAAATGAATATTTTTTGAGTTGTGCCACTATTGCCGCTCATGGGCGATATAATTTTATTTCAAAGCAATTTCTTCAGACAAGTACTTGGAATCCCAATGGACTTCCATTTTTTCCCTATAATTGCTGATATATTCATGAAAACCATAGAATCATCAGCTCTGGAATAACATCTACTTAAATTGAATGTATGGCTTCGTAGATGCTACTTTTATCATATGGCCTAACGATCAAAATACCTTTGTGGAACATTAACATATATATTAACATAGACCGAGCAGTCTGTAGAGCTAAGTGACAACACCATCTTTTTTTGAGACAGAGAGTAAGAAGTTTCAATGCGCTAGAGAGAAACAGATCCAACAAACGCAAGAGATCTTGTCATCAATACGAGCGGCCGGTATGCTCGGCCTATGTTAATATATACGTCTATGTTTTGGAAGCGCCCGATTTAATTTAATGGTCTAAGATTTGTTTACCTGTTTTATAATATGTTTATCTGTCATCAAAGATGTAGAAATTATGAAGCATACAATTTTTATGCTCCATATTTTAAATATTAAACAATTAAATATTATAAATTTTAATATAAATTGCCTAGTAATTTTCTTGTTACTAAATGTTTTTCTTTGTTTTTCAGGAGGAACTTACGTTTTGAAAATTTTTACCATGTTTGAGGAAAGTACGCTGAACTTATTATTTCTTTTAAATTGTTCGTTTGATAAAGTAGCACTATTTAAACCCTGTACATCAAAAAGTGGAAACTCTGAAGTATACGTTATTTGTACCAAATATAAGGGATTTAGCGTTATTGATCATTTGTGGACAGGTTTATGGGGTGCTTATGAAGATATTGACATATTTAATTCAAACTCTATGTTCTTGTTAACTCATCTACCGGACAGTTTTTTAGCCGAAATATATAAATGTTCAGATTTTTTTATGACAAAACAAGCAGATACTATAATGGATAATATTTATCATTTTGATCGAAGGATTCAGGATAATATTTTTATTACCAAATCATTTGTAGCTCAAGTTTATTTGGCTAGACATGAGATCAAACCTATACCAGAAAGTTCTAAAATAGTACCAAATATATGTGTTTCTGAGTTATGGAGAGTCCATTCAACTAAGAACTCAAGGCACTTTTTTAATACAAATTTGCCAAACGTTATACGTAATAAAAAAATTTCCAATAGTTTGGATATCATTATTGGTAAAGAGATACAAACTGTATATAATTCCAAATTTACTGACAACGACAATCTCAGAAAAATTCAAACTATGTGTGCAAATAATAAAAGTACGTCCGATTTTTATCAATATGTTTTGAAGGTGCTGCAAAAAAATAACATTGTTATAAACGTTAAAGAATTTGATGTTACTATATTCTCAAAATTCCAAAAAGAATTGTTTCTCAAAATATCTTCCGTTATAGGGGTCGATAAGAATTTAATACTAATTAATATTCCCTTTGTAACGCATTTTCTTGTAGGATTACTATATTTATTAATATTTTTTTACGATAAAGTTTATATTGGGAGTGGTGTTGTATATCTATATCAACCAAAATCTAGTGTGTTCAAAAGTATACAAAGTATTTTTAACAGTATTACAGAAAAGTACAAACTTACAACTGAATCGAATGGCCAGTTTGCCCAGGATATTGTTCACATTGTTTCGCCTAGTGTGTTTGAAACTGGGTCTTTTATTGAGACAATCTGGAATTATAATAAGTATTTATTTTGCGAGGACAAATGTTTTACTAGTCCTTATACATATCACTTACAATGACCTGTATGTGGTTCGTATACAAAAAATGGAATCTGGATCTTTTGATAAAATGTTTTTGTATTTGCATTTCAGCATTTAAAGAAAAAATATATTTAATGGATAAGTATTATGTCAAACTCTACATTGGTTTCAAAAGTGTATAGTGGAATAAGTAAGACATATACTTAGTTAAGCAATACCCAAAAGGGAAGATTGTTACATTTAAATCAATAATCGTCTTCATTTAATAACCCAGTATAACTTTCCAGTTAGTAAACTAAGATAGGCTACTAGTATTTCTGTTTCTTGTGCTATGCAAGAGTTGTAACAAGGCCAGTGCTAACTTTAACGGTATATTCTCTTCTTCTTTTTTTATATAGACATGACTCTGTCTGTTTTTCAATGTGCGTGTAAGTTGTCGTTCCATCGATTTCGTGGTCTTCCTACTGATCGTCTTTCTATTGAGGAATCGTCTCTTGGCATCTTTACTACTCTATTTGTCATTCCGCTTATATGATCGTTCCATTCTACTCTTCTATTTCTTATCCAGTTCTTGATGTCCTCTTACCATTATCTGATGATAGTGTCTTACGATCAATTTTTTAAAGTGTTTTCATCTCTGCTGTTTCTAACATCCTTTTTGTCCTCTCTGTATCAAGTCTTGTTTCTGTCGCGTATGTCATTATTGGTTTGATGACTTTTTTGTAAATTCTGCCTTTCGTTTCTTTTCCGATATTTTTATTTCTCCATATTGGAGAAATCATCTTGACTTGGAGAGAGTAGTAGTGCGTCGTCTGCATAGCAGATTATTTTAAGTTGTTTTTCTCCCACTTGTTATCCTTTTTTAGTTCTTACTTTTTTTATTATTTCATCCATAATCAGGTTGAACAATAAAGGACTCAATAAATCTCGCTGTCTTACCCCATTGCCAGCTTCAATATGGTCGGTTAGTTCTTCTACTTTTACTGTGTTGTTTTGATAGATATTTTCGATCGTTTTCGAGGTATTAGGATGCTTGATTTCCATTCTTGAGGAATTTTGTTTTGTTCTATTATTTTTTGGATTAGTTAATAGTTGTTTGGTCAGATCTGGTCCTCCGTACTTTAGGAGTTCGTTCGGTATTCTGTCCTCTCCTGGTGATTTTTTATTTTTTGATTTTCTTAATGATTTTCTCCTTTACCTCTTCCTCCTCAATATTTATTTCTTCGTTTGTCGTCACCTCTGGTGTTGGTGGTTTATTATCGTCACCTTTAGCAAACAGGGATCGAAAGTATTCTAGAAATGTTTTAAAACCTCGTGGACCTCGTAAATACGCATGCCCGAAAAAATAAATGGATCCTAAAAACATGCACCATTTTAATTTCATAGGAAATTGGGCGACAGGGTAGGATTTGCACGTGCTAATGATGTCGAGTATTTTCAATAAACATGACATATTATGTTTCTCTAATCTTAAGCTCGGTACACATATGCGAGCCGAACGGTATGCATACGGTTCGCGAACACAATATTCGTTAATTTGTACGGCAGACAAAACTGCTCGCGAACTGTTCGTTCGTTGCTCGTCGCGAACCAAATTGTGGCGGTTTATTCCACGACTTCAAAAGAAGCTCGTCGTTCAGTTTGGACGGCGCTACTAAACGCAGCGAACATTTTAATTGTCTCATCAAATCGACATTGTATGAATGGCGTGTTCCTTCCTAGAAAGACGTGAAAAAACAGTAAACGGATTATTGTACATATTTTTATTTTTGTTAAACAAGCAAATGATGTCTTGATTTACATTTTTGAAACGCTTGCAAAGATGGTATTAACGGAAAATGAAATATTTTGTTGATTGAACATGAAGCTAGAAACGTGACGTAATCAATACCCTAATTACAAATTAAATGAATATGACGTGTGAAACAGAAACACGATAAATCAGTACCCAAATTATAAATAAAATGAATCATTTCGCACATGTGTGTTCGTTGCTGGTTTTCGCTTTCCATGGCTCGCGAGATGTTCGCGAACCGTTCGATGTAGATATATTTTCAACGAGCTGTACGCGTACCGTTCGTATACCGTTTGGCTCGCATATCTGTACGCGCCTTTATTAATTTGTACGGCAGACAAAACTGCTCGCGAACTGTTCGTTCGTTGCTCGTCGCGAACCAAATTGTGGCGGTTTATTCCACGACTTCAAAAGAAGCTCGTCGTTCAGTTTGGACGGCGCTACTAAACGCAGCGAACATTTTTATTGTCTCATCAAATCGACATTGTATGAATGACGTGTTCCTTCCTAGAAAGACGTGAAAAAACAGTAAACGGATTATTGTACATATTTTTATTTTTGTTAAACAAGCCTTAACGAATATTGTGTTCGCGAACCGTATGCATACCGTTCGGCTCGCATATGTGTACGCGCCTTTAAACATTCCAGTTAGTCATCGCATTTTTATTTTATCTCATATTGGAAGATGTAATAAAAATTTACGACTTCCCGTCTTCACCGCCGATAAGAACTGCTGTGTAAAAATGTAAAATATTGACATTGCACTAATTTGACTTGTAAATAAACCTTTTAAGAACTGAAAAAAATCTAGAGGACAAATAAATAACAAATTACTTAATGTATGATAGAAAAATAATAGGGGTTTGGTCTTAAATTCAACAAAATATGTTTATACGAGACGAAAACCTTGAATTCCTTGGGAAACATATTCGCATGAGATTTTTTGCATAATGACTTTCATAAAAGACCACATAATAATGTCGAAGAGGTCGCCCATACAAAAAGTGGTCCTATTATAGTTTATTAAACAGTTTTGTATAAATCTATTTATAGGTTGGGATAAGAGCCTTAAACAACTAAAAACAATGTTTTAAAATCAAATAAGCCCAAACTAAAGTATCAGAAACTGATAGAACAAGGTTTGGTGAATTCAAAAATTATTGTGTGTTTTTAAGCCATTTTCGTTTTTTTTTCAGTTTTAGATTGTTTATAAGGTATAAAATAAAAATAAAAATATTAAAGCTGTTTCACTAACACAAAAACTAGTTCGTCTCTGTCTCGCTACGATAACGCACTGAAGAGAACTGCATGTTTTTATCAATGCCTGATTTCGTTGTTTCGTTCGTAGATCGACGTCACTAAATGATTACGTCAGGTCCAGGACATTATGAATTATCTTTACCTATGTTTCCTTCTGAATGTGTTTCGTTTTTATTAGTTTGTTCATCTCTTTTCTTTGTCCTCTGATCATTCTCCATATTTCTTTTTGCGTTCCGTAGGAGTCGTTTTCCATCTGTTTTGAGAAACTCTGCCAGTGTTCCTTTTTTTAAGTGTCTAACTAAAGTAGGTCAACAATTGTAACTTTGTAATTTGGTCAACAGCGTGAAGGGCCGTAAGCTGTACTTGGGCCATATAATGAGAAATCGGGGCAAATACGAGCTACCGTAAAACGGGGTGAATAGAAACAGTGGGGTGAATAAAAACAAAACTTTATTTATATTATGTAATTTATTTCGTACATAACTATGGATAAATGGTGGCAACTATTATTTTTTTTATGTTGTTACATTTTAGGCTAAAAGGAAAATAATGTTTTGTTTGGTTGGCAGCACTGGTTCCCGTTTGTTTGTCTTGTTGACATTTACCACGCGATTCTTGTGTTTTTTTATCCATTTATAACTTTCCAGGTAAGTCAGGATACGTAGTGTTCTTAAAAGTAAATAGCTGCACAAAACATAGTTTAATTATCCATACAAAAGATTACGGCTTACTTACTATGAAGCTTACTTTCCCAGAAGCTGGGCCAAAAAACGCCAGGTACAGCGAACAAAGTCTGGCTGGTTTGATTCCTTCTGCTTCGAAGATTGGGTACTGACAGTTCCTCTTCCATACCTGAAAAAACAAACGGGTCGAAAATTTCTGATTGGGGACAATTTGTCTTCCCATTTATCAGTTGAATCTGTGAAGTTGTGTAAAGACAATGCTATCAATTTTATTTTTCTCCCAGCTAACTCCACCCATCTGACACAACCTCTGGACATGGCATTTTTTCAGCCAAGTGCGGTATAGCGCCTCTAAATAGGAACAACGTGCTGTGTATGCTTCCACAAATTATTGATGAAGAGGAAAACCAAAATCCCGAAAACATTCAGAAGAACCACGAAGCTGTTGACAATAGTTTCAAAGAGGTTCTTCATAGTCTTAGAGAAGATCAAACTCCTAAGATAAGGAAAAAGAGAACCAAAGTTAATGTGAAACCCGGCAAAAGTATCAGTGTTGAGAACTTTGTCGATGACGATGAGAACTTAAATCCCCAAACTTCACTTGCTAGTGACCAAAACCCACGTTCCTCCAAACAGGTTCAGCCAAATAAAAGCCGAAAGCGTGTGGAGTTATCATCAGGAGATGAAGATGACTTTTCAGTGCAGGATACTGACTCTTCAGATGCCCCTGATCTAGATGAAAGTACTGACAAGGCCTCAGGCGAAAACCTCGTCATCAATGAAGATGACTACATGTTAGTCAAAGTTTATGGTAAAAAAAAACATCTTTTAGATGTTATATATGCAAGGTTGCTTTCGTTGAAGATGACGGTTTCGTTGGAATATTTTTGAAAAGAGTGCAACAAACTAATAAGTTTACCATAACTGAAGAAGAATCACTTGTCTCCAGAAACGACGTCATCCTAAAACTATACTCCCCAGTATTTTCCTCAAGTACGCGATTTAAAGACATGATATTTTTCGAAGATGCCTGTCTAATTTCACAATTTAATAATCATTATTTAATCTTATTAAATACGATTTGTTTACTTAGAGTTATGTAATGTCTTTTGGTTATATAGCTACCTACTTAAATAAATCATTATGTTGAGAAATAAATGTGTATTTATCCATTTATAAATTAAAAATACCATATTTAACTGCTTCTATTCGCCCCCGATTCCTTTCAATAGAAACAAACATAAAATTAAAGTACTGTTTCTAGTCACCCCCCTTTGAGGGGTGAATAGAAACACCATGTT